TCTCCTGCTCCATTAACTGTTACAATCAAAACTGGACTTGACAAGAAAAATTATATATTTCTTTAAAAAGATGCCAGTGTGACCTTACAGCTGGGAAAAGACATGTGATATAGCACTAATCTGCCCTCGTTAAACCCAATGGCCCAGACTCTCAGCTTCTTTGAGCCCCCTAGCTTTAGAATAATCTTTATCATCTGATTAAAAGATAAATTTTACATGAACCAGATGCTTTTCCACACCAGTCTCCTTCAAGAAGTTCTATGGAAAAGGCATAGTTCACATCCTCTTGTGAACTTGCTGGCTGTTACTTGTTTTGTGAGAAGTTGGCTCATGAAAAAAAACACTTTAACAATAAATACTTTCTATAAAATGCTTAATAATATGAATAATCATCAGTGCAAATCAAATTCTCTGTACATGTATTTTCTTGACTTTCGATTCAGGCTAATTAACTTTAACCTCTCCTACCTGACACAGTGAGGTTAGACAGGTAAAAGTCCTTTTCCAAATTGAAGGACAGACCAAGTAAAGTGGCATTAATAACAACGATGAATAGTAATAAAGGAATAATAGTAACATAATAAAAACTGTTTTCTTCAGCACCTACATATCAGAGGCTCTACACTAACTACTTTACCTATATTGTCCTACAAAATTCATAGACCTAATATGCACATGAGATATTAACATTTCAGATGAATAAAGACTTACAGAAGTTAGTTTGCCCAGTCATGAAACTAGCAAGTGAGAGCAAGTGTGACTAGAATTTGCAGCTCTCATCTGTTGGATTGGTTGGTTTAGAGTGGTTGAAAATGTTGAGAATGTTGAGATCATGTCCAGGCATGGCCAGGAAGAGTGTCAAGATTGATTAGAAATGTCTGCCGTGAGTATAAGCAAGGACTGGGGGATGCAGAACATAAGCTGCGTATCTGTCTTTTACATCACGGTGTCTCTCAAGATGATATAACTTCAGGGGTGCCTGGCTGGCTCAGTCGGGAGAGCATGCGACTCTTGATCTGGGGGTCATGAGTTCGAGCCCCACGGTGGGTGTAGAGCTTGCTGAAATAAATGAATTAATTCAAAAAAGAAAAAAGAGATGGTGTGACTTAAGAAGGAAAAAAGTCTCCTGAGCTAAAGTATTTCTTGGTAAGGTATCATAGCCTTAGGGCTTGAGCCTAGTTATAATAAAAAGCCACGTGATTCCGAAGTGTACCGTGGCTGAGATGTACCAGGGCAGAGCTCCTGGCTTCCCACTGATAACAACCATCCCATTGGCTAAGCAGCTCCCTGACGGCCTCCCAGCAGGAGCATTGTCACACCACAACAAAGCGCCTTTGCCCACAGACACACAAGCCCGATGGCTGGCACTGACGGTTTCCCTGAAAAATGCACTGTCCTCTGTTCTGAGTCAGTCTTATTGTTCAGAGCTTAGGGAGTGAGGCTGAGGTCCAGATACGGGACGATAATACGTGCTACACGCTGGTTGCCAGCAATATTGTGGCCACGTCATACCTACATTTCTAATGCTGCCGTGCTCCGAAATGACCTCCTTGTACCCTGACCCTCAAACTCGGAATCCCTATTTATCCCGAAGTCAAATCTCACTTCCTCTGAAGTCTTCCAGGACCGCCCCCACCCCTAGCCAGAGGTAGCTGATTTCTTCTTGCCAGCCTGGCATCTGGGACTTCGCCAGTACATATTTAGCAACTGAAAGAATAAATTAAACCGTGCCAATGCTTAAGAAATGGGCTATATAAACTACAATGATTTTTGAGACGAAAGAAGATGAAAGGACAGTAACTCTTCCAGAGGTGCTTTCCTTGTCTCTGATCATGTACGAAGCCCAGAGTCTAGCAGCAAAACAGTGGAGGAGGGGCTCGGCTGGCTGTATACAGTGGGCTGGTGTTAGTTCTGGACAGTATGCTGATGCTTCAGAAACGTCCTGGACCAGGGGCTACTGAGCAGAGACCAATACATATTGAAGGCGTGTCACTTGTGTGTTTCTCTGCTTTGGGCTTGTACGAAAGTCACTGACTTATCTCCCACTGGTTTATGGAAAGCAGATAACTGATTTAGTAAGTAGCTGACCAGCAGTATCTTGACTCAGACATATTGGGTAGCCACAAAATGTTAACTAGTGTTCAAAGATCTACTGCAAATCCGATCTTGTGTGTTGTGTCTGCTGGAACACAAGTAATAGAAAGCAGAACTCGAAAGGGCTTAGACGATAGGAAAGCTTTATCAAAAAACAAGAAGCCTTGCAATGGGGTCGCTGAAAGATTGGTTAAGTCCCTAGCTTGGTCACATTTTGCAGCAATAACTTTTGGCCTCAGGGTAGCTCCTTCCCTTTGGGAAGATAGCTGGCTACTGCACTTCCAGGCCATACATAGCAAAGAGCAAGGAAACCTTTCCCACATGGCCCCCAGCAGCCCGGTCCTCACATCACATTGGCTAGAAGTGGGTCAGTGCCCAGCCCTAACCAATCACCGATAAGAGAAATGGGATCACTAAAACTAGCTTAAGTAATTAGGATGCACTCCTAAATCGAAGATGATGTCACCTTCCTTGGGAGAATTATGGGTTGAGAGAAACTGGACAAAATCAGGATTCTTTTCAAACAGAGAAAGAGGAAAGACTTGGCTCTTGACTAGGCAACCAACAGTGTCTCCTACATATGCTCAGCGGAGATGCCACATCCGCATTTCCGTATTACCTTCATAGCAGCAAAATCAAAGGGCCCAATGTGCGAATCACCTTAACTTGGTGATGGTGGCCACTTTTCGTAATACAATTTAGCCATCATCTGGTGAGGTAAAGACAACGCATAAAAAATCAAGTCAGATAAGACAGAAAAATCTCCATTACCTGACTTTACCAATGAATTCCAATGCTCCACTCTCAAATTAGGACAGTTTGTGGACTGTAAGGACACAGGTCCTTCCGCTAGGAGGGACATTTCTGTGAGATAAGGAAGTGAGAAGGAGCAGCCTTGGAGTGAACAGGGAGAAAAGCTCCCTAGGAGGACATATATGCAAAGTTCCTAAGGCAGAAAACGGAAAGGGTAAGAAAGTGGTGGAATGATTGGCTCACAGTGAGCAGGAAGAGAATGGCCGGTGAGAAGGGTGGAGATGGAGGACAAAGGGGCATTCAGAGCCTTGTGGGTCCTATTAAGGAGCTGGGGGTTTTATTCTGTATGCAGTGGGAAGCCACTAAAGGATTAAATAGGACCTACAACTGTAAAGTGACACCAAAAATACTATGCAGGATCATTTTATATGTTGGAAAGAGTAATTCCATTTAATGTAGGCTGTATGTCATTAAAGAAGCTACTTACAAAGTCCCAACTTGATAAACAGTTGCCAGGAATTCACCGTTATTACCTTGGTTTTATGCAAAGTTGACCTTTGGTTTTAGTGGGTGGATGCATGTTTATGGACCCTGTGGCCTAGTGGAATGGCTTATTCTGAAGCAACTCTTAAGATCTCTTTTTATTTTTTTAAGATTTTATTTATTTATTTGATAGAGACACACAGCGAGAGAGGGAACACAAGCAGGGGGAGTGGGAGAGGGAGAAGCAGGCTTCCCGCTGAGCAGGGAGCCCGATGCGGGGCTCGATCCCAGGACCCTGGGATCATGACCTGAGCCGAAGGCAGATGCTTAACGACTGAGCCACTCAGGAGCCCCTCTTAAGATCTCTTAAACAATAATGCCTCAGAGGAGAAATGAAAGCTCCTATTCTGAATTTGGTGAGGCTGCTACTAGTCTCAGCAGCTGTCACTGGTTAATCTCCTAACTGACTTAGAGCCTTGACGGGGATGCTGCCAGAAAAAGGACGGCCGAGTTCAGCTCCCCACATGGTCAGCGGGCTTGGCTTTCAGTCATGCATGTGGTCCTCGTGCTCTGGTACATATGCCTGGGGGATCACTCCGTAATGGAGACTGCCTGTTCCAGTTGCAAAGTTCTTTCACACTTCAGGTTGCATTACTGAGCTCAACGCATTCCAGAGCTCTCCTGTTTCCTTGGCAGTTCCTTGATAAAAACTCCTGAAGCCAGTTCATTTCTCAACAATCTGAGTACCTGCGCCTGTGTGGAGGCAAAGACGTGACAGGGCTTTGAAGAACGGGGTTCGAACAGTGTTAGCCTGTGGTTATGGGAAGCAGAGGAGTGAGCCTGACTGGAGAGCTAAGCCTTCTGCTGGCTTCCATGAGAAAGACGGATTAGAGAGTGGAAGAGTGGGTAAGGGATGACAGTTGCGGGTTAGAGGCTGCTGCGGGGGTCCAGAAAGATGCCAAGTAGGTCTACATTGATAAGGCCAGTCCAAAGGTAAAGGAAGAGTTGGCTGAGAGAAACAAACATATTTCATGCAATCGAGCCGGGAGGGACTTCGAAAATGATTGGACATAGGACGGACTTGACATCATTCCAAGAGTCTTCAGCCAACCCCCTTTCATCCCCAAGGGACAGTTCTCAAGCTGAAACATAGTGGTCACCAGCTTCTCCGTGAGATCCTGCCCTGGATCCATTCTGCTTTGCCATGACCTCTTCTTGGTAACAGTGATGAGCAATACGTGGCATCACCTATTGCCTTTGGAATAAAGCACAGAGACGTTCTGTTGCTCTTGTTTACAAAACATTTTTTTAATTTTATTTTTAAAGATTGTATTTATTTATTTGAGACAGAGAGAATGAGAAAGAGAGAGCACATGAGAGGGGGGAGGGTCAGAGGCAGAAGCAGGCTCCCTGCCGAGCAGGGAGCCCTATGCGGAACTCGATCCCGGGACTCCAGGATCATGACCTGAGCCGAAGGCAGTCGCTTAACCAACTGAGCCACCCAGGCGCCCGTTTACAAAACATTTTAAGATGCTTCTGGGTCAATGCAAATGATTATGAGTCATCTAGACCTCTTTCCCCTAGGTGGCAGGCAGTTTTCTAAGTGTGGGTAATGTCAGAAATGAAATGATTTGCCTGAATGTTGTTTCTTTTCTCTTTTCATTATGAAGTATATTCGGTGCTCTTCGAACTGGTGCTTATATGGTGTACATTTTGATGACCAAAGGCCTGAAGCAGTCAGTTTGTGACCAGAGTTTTTACAATGGACCTGTCAGCAAATTCTGGGCTTATGCATTTGTGCTAAGCAAAGCACCCGAACTAGGTGAGTGTCTTCTCTCCTTCCGTTTCCACCCCCACCCCTCTGGGTAGCTACACACCCACAAGATTTACTTATTTGAAAACAGACAAAGAAACGATTTGAAGGTCCTGTTTTGTTGGTTGCAGGAAAGTTATAACCCATGAATTTGAGTTCTTGATTAACTTTTCCACTATCTCTTTCTCTCCCCTCCTTCCCTCCATTTCAACAATTGTACATTGTGTATGTGAAGAGCAAAATCGTTGACGAAAACATGCCGGCTTCCAGACACTACTGGAAATACACTCCCAGGGGCGTATAAAGTCTACCCGGTGCCTTCTGTCCGGCGCGTTAATGGCTGTGCTAAGATGATAATATGGAGGGAAATCCACAGTGCAGCTCTCTCCCAGTCCCACAAGGAAACAGACTTTCATCCTGCCGTTAGGATTCAGACGAGGAGACTAGGCTTTCCGTTTGGGTGTCCTCATGTTCTAATTAACAAATGCTAAGGGTTGGTTTCTGGTATTGTTTGATTTGAATCATCTAAGAGATGGGCCTTGGAGAAGAGGAATGTGGCTCCCCTTCTAGAACTGAATCCAAAATACTGGCTATGTATATAGATTCCTAAGGTTTTTCCTTCAGCTCTTTAATGGTGTTGAATAGAAGTGTGGTCCAGATTCACAGAAACAATGGAAAATTAGTGGCAAGGATGTGACATGGATGTAGTTCACCAGGAAAATATCTTTACTGCTGGAGAAAGGGATCTGCTGGTGATCATAAACTCTGGGTTCATCCGTGAGCAGTACTGGCCATCAGCTCACAAACTCATATATATCCTTAGGGAACACCTATTCATTGTTTGGGTTTTTTAATTTTTTATTGGGAATTAAGAATTCTGTTATTTAGTTCAAAATATTTATTTATAGATTGGGTTCCCTCTCCTGTTTCTCCTAAAAAGGGGGTTAGAGGTTTTACTTTCCTTATACGCCACATACAATTCAAGCTATCTGCAGTCTTCCTTTTTTTTTTTTAATTTTATTTTATTATGTTATGTTAGTCATCATATATTACATCATTAGTTTTTGATGTAGTGTTCCATGATTCATTGTTTGCGTATAACACCCAGTGCTCTATGCAGAACGTGCCCTCTTTAATACCCGTCACCAGGCTAACCCATCCCCCCACCCCCTCCCCTCTAGAACCCTCAGTTTGTTTCTCAGAGTCCAAAGTCTCTCATGGTCCATCTCCCCCTCCGATTTCCCCGCTTCATTTTTCCCTTCCTACTATCTTCTTTTTTTTAATTAACATATAATGTATTATTTGTTTCAGAGGTACAGGTCTGTGATTCAACAGTCTTACACAATTCACAGCACTCAGCATAGCACATACCCTCCCCAATGTCTATCACCCAGCCGCCCCATCCCTCCCACCCCCCACCACTCCAGCAACCCTCAGTTTGTGAGATCATATGATACTTGTCTTTCTCTGAATGACTTATTTCGCTTGGCATAATACCCTCTAGTTCCATCCACATCGTTGCAAACGGCAAGATTTTTGTTTTTTGTTTTTTGTTTTTAAAGATTTTATTTATTTAGGGCGCCTGGATGGCTCAGTTGGTTAAGCGACTGCCTTCGGCTCAGGTCATGATCCCAGGGTCCTGGGATCGAGTCCCACATCGGGCTCCCAGCTCAGCGGGGAGCCTGCTTCTCCCTCTGACCCTCTCCTCTCTCATGCTGTTTCTCTCTCGCTCGCTCTCCAATAAATAAATAAATAAAATCTTTAAAAAAAAAATTTAAAAAAAAAAGATTTCATTTATTTATTTGAGACAGAGAGAATGAGAGAGAGAGAGCACATGAGAGGGGGGAGGGTCCAAGGGAGAAGCAGGCTCCCTGCCGAGCAGGGAGCCCGATGCGGGACTCGATCCCGGGACTCCAGGATCATGACCTGAGCCGAAAGCAGTCGCTTAACCAACTGAGCCACCCAGGCGCCCAAGATTTTGGTTTTTTGATGGCTGCATAATATTCCTGTGTGTGTGTGTGTGTGTGTGTATACACCACATCTTCTTTATCTATTCATCATCCACAGTCTTTCTTTAAGGTATCTTTACTTCATATCCTGTGTCTGTTCACAAAGGATATGAGGTCTCTCGGATGTGAATGTCGGCTACTTGTCTGTCCTGCCTCCAAAGGGAGGGCAATTGATTTGAATTGTTAGTTTGACCATTGTTTTCCCAAGTCAAAGACAAGGGAAGAACAGCAGAGGAAAACTTCTGAAAACCTTTGCTAAGAAGAGCAGGGGTATGGAGATAGATCCTCTACAGCCCAAAATGACTAGATCACTGTTGTGTGTGCATGCACACATACAAGAGCCCACGGAGGCAGACGTAGGTTGAAATGCATTGGTATGTATGTGTTCATTCATTCCCTTAACGTATTTATATTAAACACCTACAGTAGGCATTTAATAGGGGCTAGAATCGAATGTCTAACTCCTCTAAAAAGAAATTTAGAATATGAATTTTATGAACCAGGCCCCAGGAGGCCAGTTTTCATATTTGAATTGAGACCACAAGCTGCCAGATCTTAGGCTAGAAAAATGTTTTTGAAACTTGGAGCTACAGACAGTGCCTAAGACAGATGTGTTTTTAGGAATTTCAAAATTCTATGGGAACATTTTAATTTTGTGTTTTCACTTATAGATTAAAAACAAGACTGTCTTGCCAGATATATTTCTTTCATAGTTATTCTTTAGATTCATAGAGCATCTGAACCAGATTACTTCTTCTCAAACTAGTGTTGGTCTGAGAATGTGAGCATGTATTCTCTTGGGGTTGTGTGACATTCTCTTTAAAATTCATACATTATTAATGTTTGAGAATTACTCACTTTGAGAAATATCAGCTATCTCTGACTTTTCATTTAGGCTGTATAATAAGTATCTTTATGAATCTGCCCATCTTTTTTGACACAGAACTGACTACAGATGTATGAAAACAGTAAATGCACGAACCATGTGGCTCCCTCTACATGTCACCACGAAACACTTCACAGAGTTTCACTACCCTCAACATTTGTGAAAAGAATCAGCAGTGGTGCCTCTATGCTTTGGGGCCTTAAGCCTTAAATTGCAAAGGAGCATCCTCAGTGTTTGCTTCTTGAAATCATCTTCCTTGCAAGGGCTGCTTGTCTGCGCTCTGAGTTTTATCCACGTGAATTTGAGGGACTTGACACTAAAAATAGTCCCTTCTACCTTTAGAATAATTTCTTGAAGAGCCACCCCAACCTATTCATAGTGGTCATTTTCCTTCAAAGACATGAGTAGACCTATACTGTCTGTTCTCCCATCTTCTGCTCCATACTGACATCAAAGTTTCAGGATAGCAGACAGAGTTCGAATTGCCACAGAAGAACTGTCAGTGAAGTACTAAGAGGTATTCGTGCCATTGCCCTCTGTCTTGTTAGAGTGTTGGTCTGGATGATGCTAATTAATCACCTGTCTTAATTTAATGTACACCCAGACATGCCACTCCCTACCACCCCAATGTTGGCTTATAATTGAACACAATCCTATTCCCTCTTGAGCCCAGAAGGAACTGGACCGTAGTCCCTTGTGATGTTGTTTTGGTGATCCCTTTCCCTAAGAAGCCTCATTCACCATAGTGGTTTGTAGGCTGGATATCAAACAATCCATTTCTTCACAGTGAAAATAAAGGATTGAAGTGCTGACAATGGGCTAAAGAGTTGGAAAAAAATAAAATCCTAAACTTGATCTGGTTCTTTAATGAGGCTAGTGATATTCTTCATGTCGTTTCAGGTTCATTATACAGGTATTTTCATGGTCAGAGTACCCTTTTTTCAGTTTTAAGATATGCCGTATTTTCTCTCAAATGTTCTGGAGCTCACTGACAAATGGTCTTGCCAAACTAAACTTCTGAATCAAAATAGATCCAAAAACCAGATAGCCAGCCCCTAGCCCTAATTCAGCAAACGTGTTTTCTTGGATGCCTTCTTGTTCATTTTGGAAGTTAAATCCCTTTCCAGTTTTTTTGCTCCTAGAAGACATTGCTGCTACCATTTAATTAAGAAAGATCTATCCACTTGGATTATTGAGAACTTTTCTTATTTTTAGGTCCTAAGCTCTGCTTTTCAATACTCTAAGATTCTGGACTCCCTTATGTGCAGCAGAAAGAGAAGGTTCTTGTGAGAAGGGATAGTTCCTCTGTGTTCAATACCAAACCTCTATTTTCCCACCAAAACCCGCATGCCTGCAGTTTTCAGTATACTTTTTTGGGGGGAGGAGGGGCAGGCAAAATACACCTACATCAAATTTACCATTTCTAAGCGTACAGGGCTGTGGCATTAAGAACACTTGCGTCGTTGCACGACCATCGCCATCATACTTCCCTAGCACTGTTTCATCTTCCCCAACTGACGCTATTAAACACTGCCCTTCACTGCACTCTTAAGAGCAAGAAGGGCTTTCTGTTTCAGCAGAAAACAATGAGCTCATTTCAGTGAATTATAGAGTTACAACCCATTAGAACAAATGAGGAGAAGAGAACCACCAACCTGCTTTGTGTGCCAAAATCCGTGCGCGCCTACTGTTTGAATTATATTAAAACCTGCTGAGATTTGCTTTTGTTAAAACTTGGAAACATCTGCTCTGAGTCTAGGTCCTTGCTCAGTTGAGCTTGTCATTGTTTTTGAAACTCTGACTCAGCAGAGCTCCAGCTAACTCTGTGAAGAGGGGCACAGCCATCTGGGACAAACCACACAGAGTGGCCTCTTGGGGACTCTGAGCACCCTGGGTGTTTCCAAATGCTGACCGACGGCTCCACAGCAGCACAGACGTCTGTATTAACAGGCACACAGGCTGGACGCGTATCCGCTGGGAGGGACACTTTGGAATGAGATTACCTACAGACTGGCTCTTGGCTGAAAATAGCTGAATCTAAAGTTAGAGAGACTGTGGTGGAGAAAACATGAACCAGCGGTCACTCGAATGGGTGACGTGGCTGAATTGTTCAAGAATCGAAAGTCCCACTGCTTATTGTTGGTCAACATTCTTTCCAGACTGCCAACCATACCTTTGACCAGACAAACAAAAGAAAAAAAAAAACATAGGAGGTCTCAGGAAGCCCTTCCGGAACCCCACCAGTGTGCCCTTCCCCTTACCCAGGGGAAACTACCATTCCCTAGGTCAACAGCCTTCTTGGGGATGGTAACCTTGATGCGGCATTAGAGTGGTGGTCCTGAGAGGCTCCAGGGCTATTACTGGAAAATACTCATCTTTATTACTCCACCTGCCATCCTGTATGTCTGTTCCAGAAAAAATTCTTAAAGGAATTCAAATTAATTTTGTTTGGAAGATCTCATGACATCAGGGCGCCTGGGTGGTGCAGTCAGTTAAGCATCCAACTCCTGGTTTCGGCTCAGATCATGATCTCAGGGTCGTGAGATCGAGCCCCACGCCCAGATCCATGCTCAGCAGGAGTCTGCTTGGGTTTCTATCTCCTTCTCCTTCTGCCCCTCCCCCTGCACTCTCCCCGCCGCCAAAATAATAAATAAATCTGTAAAAAAAAAAAAAACCATAACATGTGCTTCACCTTCAGCTCCCCCATATTAAATGGAAACACATAATGTGTCTCAATCATGCCCCCTACTAATGAGATCTGAGACCCCTACTCAGACATGAAAAACACAAAGCAAGTTTCAGTACCAGAATCGTAGGTTCCACTTTTCATTCCAGGTTAGCCCATTCCCATACGGCCTGTCTTTTGTCCCCTATTACTCTCCTCACACTGAAGTTGTTCTTTAGACAATAAAGTTTTAATATAAAAATGACGATAAAATCGGAGGGGTAGACGAACCATGAGAGACGATAGACTCTGAAAAACAAACTGAGGGTTCTAGAGGGGAGGGGGGTGGGAGGATGGGTTAGCCTGGTGGTGGGTATTGAGGAGGGCACATTCTGCATGGAGCACTGGGTGTTGTGCACAAACAATGAATCATGGAACACTTCATCTAAAACTAATGATGTAATGTATGGGGATTAACATAAGAATAAAATATTTATAAAGTGAAAAAAAAAATGACGATAGAGTTAAGATTAAATCTAAAGAATTAAAAAGGAGGAGATACCTATTACTCTATAGCAAATACCTTAATGTAGTGTGTTTGGGTATTGTGTGGCTTATACATTTCAGTCATGCTTAGAGGCTTGTAAAAAAACATCTTCTCAATGATGAATGACTGAATTTGTTTTTACCATGTAATTCCTTGGACTTCTACCCTCTTTGCACCGTGAACAAAAGTAGGCTGGAATTATTGTGTCTGCATTATAGTTTACTGAGCGAAGGGAGGCACAGAGTAGTAATTACACAGAAATGGTGAATCTTTGACAGGCACACAAAAATAGCGCAGTTTAACGCTAAGAAGTAGACCCCAGGTCTCCTGATACCAGTTTTGTCCCTAAAGTACATTAGTCAGAGCCACTGTCACCATCAATCATTATCAGTCTGTCTGAACTTATAGGCATAATATGTCAGGCATCTCGCAAGAGGGAAAAGGACTTCAAAGGAAATTTTATAATATGTTTGGAGATGCAGCAACTGGTAGCTCTCCTTTTCTATTCTAAACAAATAGGAATTTTCTGTTCTAAACAAATATGAAGTGCTAACGTTTAACACTTCAGTAGGGAAACAGACGAAGAGCTCCTGCTGAGTGCAATAACCTAGGTTATTCCAACCACGGCCATCAGAGCCTTAAAAATCTTCCCAAGGCCTCACATTCTTTGACCCTTCCTAGTGCCACGTGGTTTAGGGCATCCGTGAAGTCTGAGGGATAAGACAAAGGTAAGTACTAATTCCCTTTGTGCTTCATTAGATTTCAGAATAAGAAGAGGGACCTTCTAGTTCTCCTTGTCGTACCGAAACAAGTCAAGTTTGAGTTCACTGAAGGTCACGAAGGAGGTTGGGTTTTCCCATCCCTGAGAAGAACACAGAGCTAGGAAAGAGAATGGAGCATAAATCCTGTTTTCATGCTTGTTAATGGAATCGTGTGCATCTGTTACTATGCTTGCCCTTCATCCATTTGGACGTAAGTGTCCTATGGTATATATTTTGGAATCCCTAAGGCTTTTCAGAGAATCATTACATATAAATAGCATCTACCTACCTGAGTATAATTCTGGCTTCTATAACATAAATTTTCCCACCTTAGGGACAGTGGTCTTTTTCTTCAAAAGGATGCTCTTAATAATAGATTCTGGAAAGCCTTCTCAAAGTTAACTCCGTAAAAATGTGTGTCATTCTCTGTTCTTATCACTCGATTCATTGGTATAAAATATTCAGGTTACCGTGTTCAGCAAATATGGTAGAGGGTGACTTTTCTTCTCTTTTTTTCTGTTTTTGCCTTTGTTTCAATTTTCCTCCTCTGACTACCAAATGTCTGTCGAGGCTCCACCTTTTACAGGGAGCTCACAAAGATAGGTTTTTTTAGGAGTAGCTTTCGCCATATACCAAAGAAAAATGGTCTTCGTACTCCAGAGAGGCCTACGAACGTTTTGCTGGGCACTTGAACTCTAATCTGTTTCTCTCTATTGAGAAATGATCCGAGGGAAGTCACTTGACTTTTCCAGATAATATTTCCTAAAATGTACGGTCGAGTTAGAAATTGGGTAACGTGACTGCTCATGTCCCTTCTGGATCGAAAATTGGTAAGATTTTGTGTATAACAGCCTTCTGAAAGTAACATCTGTCGCCTGTTCTCCCTGTGCCAGGAGGGCGCACTGGTCATCTTATTAAGCCCTCAGACAATCCCAAGCTACTGCTGCTACCCCCGTGACTATCCTCATTTTACAGAAACTGGAAAAGAGTGAGGAGGAGTAACTCGCCCAAGCTCACGGAGCTAGTCCAGATCCGTCCAGCACTCTAACCCAGTCCATTTCACCCTCCAAGTACGAGTTGAAGCGATGTACCTTGTGGGGAAAATACGGATTCTTGTTACATCACGGTCGAGGGGCTCACGTAGGCTTTTTTCCTTCTCTTTCAGGAGACACGATATTCATTATTCTGAGGAAGCAAAAGCTGATCTTCCTGCATTGGTACCACCACATCACTGTGCTACTCTACTCTTGGTACTCCTACAAGGACATGGTAGCCGGGGGCGGTTGGTTCATGACCATGAACTACAGCGTGCACGCCGTGATGTACTCTTACTATGCCTTGCGAGCGGCAGGGTTCCGGGTCTCCCGCAAGTTTGCCATGTTCATCACCTTGTCCCAGATCACTCAGATGCTGATGGGCTGCGTCATTAACTACTTGGTCTTCTACTGGATGCAGCATGACCAGTGTCACTCTCACTTTCAGAACATCTTCTGGTCCTCACTCATGTACCTCAGCTACCTTGTGCTCTTCTGCCACTTCTTCTTTGAGGCCTACATCGGCAAGATGAGGAAAACAACGAAGGCTGAATAGTGTTGGAACTGAGGAGGAAGCCACAGCTCAGGGTCATCAAGAAAAACAATAGACAAAAGAAAATGGCACAAGGAATCACACATGGTGCAGCTAAAACAAAACAAAACACATGAGCAAACACAAAACCCAACCCAAGGCAGCTTAGGGATAATAAGGTTGACTCAGCCCAGTAAGTTTATGATCCTTTTTGGGTGAGGACTCACTGAGTGCACCTCCATCTCAAAGGACTGCTGCTGGAGACCCCATTCCCTCCTTAACTGTCAGCTCTAGGGCAAATGAGAACAAAAGTGAGCCAGAGGCACGGAGAGAGGGAGAGCGAGAGAGAGAGAGAGAGAGAGAGAGAGAGAGAAATAGAAGGTCAACAAAGGCTATTAACACTATATGGAAAAAAAAAGTATTTACTAAGTGTTATATTTCTCTAAGAATGAAAGAAGTTTACTTAAGAAACTGTGCGAGCACATACACACACAATCCTTTCTAATCTTTTTGGACACACAATAGAATAGATACAAAATGGAAGAGACACAGGGTGTATATCTAGGACAATAATGCTTTTGCAAAAATTAAAGCCTTCTTAAGAAAGGCCAGTAGCTGTAGCCCCCGTGAGAAGAGATGTCTTAATCACCTCTCATGAAAACGATGTAAACAATTGTATTCCAACTACGAGAAGGACTGGTGTTTTTCCCTTCCTAGCCCAGTCTGGGGCTAGTGACTTTGCCAGAACCAAACGGGGCACAGTATTTTTCCAAGGTTCTTCCTGGGAGGATGGAAACAGTGCAGACCAGTTCCTAACGGGGCAGCTCCACCTCAGAGCACTTCTGATGGTTTCACTGTAATTTCCACTCTGAAATGAGCTCTCAAGGATTATCCTTGGTTCGGGGGCCCCAGGCTTTTGAACGGAAGAGTAAATACCGAATAGCAAAGTTAAAACTCTACCAAATGATTTGAAAATGGATTCTGTACCACCTCTAAAAAGGGTCAGCCCCGTACCATTCTTGAGCTGGGAAAAGGACAGTGGGGAAAGATGGGAGCCCAGGATCCATCCAACAGACACACTCGGTATACCCCCACTCTATTTGACTTCACACACGCACTCATGGCTTCCCAAATGAAACCCTGTTGTACGGTCCATATGTTCTATATTTTTGTGAATTTCACAAAGAAATCTGCAGGGCTCTTCCTGATATTGGGTGAACACTGTGTTTCCGCATCATCTGCGTCTGCTCCCCGAGCGACGCAGAGGTGTGTAAAGTGCCCTCTGCTGGTCAAGTGGAGATACTTCAACAAACCCTTCATGGCAAGTTTGGCTGGAACAGGTGACAACAAAGGGCCCCCGATACACTTATCCTTCAAGTTTTCAGTGATCTAAAACACTCGTCATATTTTTGGCCAAATCAGAAGACCTTCCTCCTGCTTCAAGTCAGCTTCAGAAATTTTTTTAAAAAGGACTTCTGCTCTGGAACTCAGAAAATCAGCTTATTAAGAGCCATATTCTCTATAAAAAGAGAGAGAGAGAGAGAAAGAAATGAAAGCTAGATAATATAATATTATCTGTAATACTTCAGTCCTTTACAAGCCAAATAATGTGTCTACATTCCTAGTATTTCAAAGAAGCAATTATATAAAATCGTTCAATGTGATATGCTAGTACTCTAATCGGTTAAGTAGCTTCATGATTAGACAAACCAGATGGCACGATTAGCGGCTACACTTCATATAGCTCGTACATGCATCACTACACATACGTGCACACAGATGTGGGGTACACTCAACTTCAAAGCCCAGATGAACAGGAACCCGTTTTTCTGGCTAGCAGAAAAAGAAAACTGTTGTTTATCTTTTGCTTTCTTTGAGAGTATACAGTAAAAGGGATTTTTCAGATTATTTTTATATTATTTTAGCTTTAATTGTGCTGTCATTCATGAAACAGAGCTGCTCTGCTTCTGTCAGAGATGACAAGGGCTTTCTCAGCATCTTGTTTATGTGTGGAATTTGAAAGAATAAAGTTTTATCCCATTCTGTGTGAAGGGTTTGAACAATGAACAAAGAATCCATGCAAACCAGGTCATGACCGCTAGACCCGGGGCGGGGCGGCGGGGGGGTTGGCGCTGGGCTATGCAGGGAGGGAAGCTGTTACATCTGTATTAAATTATCGTGGGCAGTCTACGATGTCTTGACGTTGGTTCTTAGATGAGAAACAACTGATGGAGGGATGTGTTGTGATTCTTAGTGTGGAAACCGACGTGAGCTAAAAGGATAGGTCCTGCTATAACAATTACGAGGTTCTTAGGCTGCATATAATGTTCTTTTGAGCTTTGAAAAGACATGATACTGTGCAATAAGCTTTTTTTCTTATAAAAGAAAATGAGCAGAATATTTCACATGAGAAAAAGGCCAAATAGCTGACTTGAGCTTAATTGAAGGACCAGTTCGAGCTTAGCTGGTTGATTTAATTATTGAATCCATTGATTAATCATTGGCCCTTTAATGCAGGTTAGAATAAGGAAATGAGCATAGACCTTAAATAGACTCTAAATGATGCTTCCAAAGCACTTTGATCTTGGTACAATTTCATACTTGTGTTCACTTGTGAGATAACTTAGAATTTTTTTTACAGGTTGAATGTCTAATAAATAGTTTGTAAATTGGCTAAATAAATCTAAAGGCTTTTCAGACATTTCTCATGGGAAGAAAGAAAAACAAAAAAAAAAATTCTGGTATTAGAGGTTCAATACATTGTTTTTAACATCTCAGTTTAACTGCTTAATTGTATCAAGATAAGAGGCTGGACCACTAGCCCATGGCAAATCTGAATCCTACCAGAGAACTGACTGCCACACAGATAATCCTACTGTCAGTTAACATTCCAGAAAAACTTGGGGCAGGCAAGTTTTCAGAACTGCCCCACTATGCTGCAATAGATTATCTTTCTATTGGAGATTTTCTACTGCATTCCAATCCCATTATGGTGAAAACGTTTCTGGATTGAAAAAACAAACATCCTTCATTTCATATCTAAGTGCATGTAATTTGATGCCCTCAGTCTGAGTATCAACCCAAGTCTATGAGTTTGCAATGAAAAACATTCTAATGAAAAAATGCTCTATTCATAGAACAGGAGGTTTGATCTGGGTCTTCTAGTTTTGCTAATGAGAAAAGAGGAAGCACTACGTTATTTAAATCCATGCCAGGTCAAAGTACTGAATTAAAATCATGTATTGAGGTTATTATTCCAGATGATTTACTCTCACCCTTCTACTCACACTCTACTACAACAATTGGAGGGGCGGGGTAGGGATAATACATACATATATGTTGCTCAAGGGGAAAGAAAGAATTGATTGGGTCCCTCTCACTTCCCCACCTCTCTACTAATGTAGCTCAGGCCTGAGTCAGAAACTTCATGTGAGGAGGGGTTTTGCAGAACTGAATAGAAGAACACTTCTGGGAAAGAGATCTACAGATTTTTTTTTTTTTAAATCAGATGTGGTGTCTTTATGATAAAACCTCACATCAAAGAAATAATGCACCTGGAGTCAACTACACTGAGTAGAATGCTCCAGAAGCCTGGCCTCATTCCCAGACTGCTAAATTACCTGGGAGAGACAGCATGCTCAGGTTATATCTTTTCTTTATCCTGATAAAACAGCCTCCCCTCAGAGACTACGTGTCGCACAACTGTCAGCTCCAGCACATTCTGGGGGCTTTTTTTTTTTCCTCAGAGTTGTTGGACTGGCCATGTGCTGATTCAAGAGAGCTGTTAATAGAGAAGATCCGGGAGATTTTTGCCTCCCAGAGCTCAGCACTTTGAGTTATATGTGGATGGCCCATGCCTGTCTCTCCCATACACTTATTTCCCTGAACAAGTTTCCATCCCCGAGAGTGTAACTGAGTGAAAATTTCATGAGGAAAGCCCAGAACTTTCTGACATTCCAGTCTTTGTTTCCAATAACATTTTGCTATCAATTCAGGATGGTAGAGCCTATGTTCATGCTGTGAGTCCCTGTCCCCTGTAGCTTTCTTAAGTTGTTCTCTGTCTCATAGGCAACGTCTGACTCTTTGTGCCTCAGACCCTTTATCCTCAAGAAGAGATTTTGCTAAGAATGCCCCACAGGGTTTGGCTTGTAGCATATACACACTGAAATGAGAGCTAATAACGCAACCTTACACTCTTGTGCCAACAATCCGTATGAAGGTCCCAGTTTTCCAATGAACCAGCAGGCGCTGTCTGCTGGTCCCCAATACTTAAGTAAAACAAGTGTCAGTGCAGTTAGAGCTTCTTTTTTTTTTTTTTTTTTTTGAATGCCACTTGTGACAGAATCCCATTATAAACCTCCTCCAGCCATGTGGCGGAACCCATAGCTAAAGAAACCAGGGGGCGCCTGGGTGGCTCAGTTGGTTAAGCGACTGCCTTCAGCTCAGGTCATGATCCTGGAGTCCCGGGATCGAGTCCCGCATCGGGCTCCCTGCTCGGTAGAGAGTCCGCTTCTCCCTGTGACCCTCCTTCCTCTCATGTTCTCTGTCTCTCATTGTCTCTCTCGCAAATAAATAAAATCTAAAGAAAAAAAAAATTTTTAAAGAAACCAGTTAAGAACACCTGCGCAGAGCATCAAAGAATCTTCGCAAGCCTGTTGAATCATCCCGTTACTTTCCTCATCCTCAGGTACTTTGAAAATTCAGGACTCACAGAAGGAGGGAAGATAATCTCCAGGCTTCCCTTCCTCCTGAATTACACTTAGAAAAAAGTGGAACAGAAGTTGTTCTAACACTGAAAGAGAGACATTGGGAGCACCCCCATGTGTGGGTTTGGGAAGGTCTTAATAAAGGCATTTTGATTTTATGTTGGGCAGACAAAAGTCTTGCAGTCAGATACACTTCAGTGGAAATCCAAACCCGAAACTACGTCGTAGTCAACTTTTCCTGAAGTAACTGGTTAGATTAAAGAAACTGGTCCCATACATCAGGGTCAAGCCATAACTGCAACCCATTTAGGCTAGCATTGCGGGGTCCTGACACCTGTTGGTGTTTAAACACTGTTACTTTCCCAACGCTTGGCAGCACTTGAAACTTCTCTCAGTGGGCAGAAATCAAGAAGTCTCCAGAAGTAGCCTAATAGTGCTCCCCACGCATGTCCGTTTCAGACACGTCTGACTGTCTGGGCATGTTCGGGCAGGAGGTTGCTTGCTGCTAACTTGAAAACCACTGGGAGCTTCAGCCTCTTCAGGGTCCCAGAGCCCATATTCAGATAGAAGTTCACCCATATAAGCCTCAGAGAGCAAATCACAGCAATGTTGGAATTGTTATTTTCAAGTGCTTCTTTCACGACACTCAAAGAAATATTTTTTCTTGGTATATTAAAATTAAAAATAAAATCATAACTTTTGATTTAAAACCAAACAATGTTTGCAGTTTCTTTGATCTCTTGTTCTGGGCAGTTCCAAGGGGGCATCCTGGGCACTCAAAAGTCTCAGAAAAGTCATTCCGCACTTAACGCCAACATGCTCAGGGAACATAGTGAGTCACTCCAGTTCTTGAGTAGAGCTCAACCATGATGTAGTCCCCAAATACCACTGGTCAAAATCCCACAAGGGGCCTAGCCCTTCAGTGGTGTTTCACGGATATAACACATAACAATTTATGCACTTTCCAGACCTACTAGCTCACCACAGCAGTCTTCACAGGGCAGACAGTCCAAGTTGGATCCCCCATTTTACAGATAAGAAAAATTTTCCTGCTAGATCCAATGTCACAGAAGTAGAAGGAATAAAATTTTCACATAATCTTTTTTTTTTTAAGATTTTATTTATTTATTTGACACAGAGAGACACAGAGAGAGAGCACAAGCAGGTGGAGTGGCAGGCAGAGGGAGAGGGAGAAGCAGGCTCCAGGAGAAGCAGGCTCCCTGAGGAGCAGGGAGCCTGATGCGGAGCTCGATCCCAGGACCCTGGGATCATGACCGGAGCCGAAGGCAGTCGCTTAACCAACTGAGCCACCCAGGTGCCCCTAGAATTTTCACATAATCCTAACTTCAATTTCATTGTTGCCATTTGAATCTTTTGAAAGAAGTAGAGTGTGAATGAATTAAATTCCAATACTTAGCACTGAACTAGGAGGCAACTTGCCATGTCATTGGACAAAGGGTTTCAGGGCAAAATGTATGTTGGGGAAAATATTTCGAAAGCAAAGCACCTCCTTCCTAGGAAGGCACATTACCTGCACACCTGTGGGCTATTAGCAAGGGTAGTCCCCCGCTCATCCACTCCCTGATCCTAAAATTTGACCTTCAACCTCTGGTGCTCTCATATGTTCTAGCGTATACTCTTTAGGTTAAATGTCTTACGGCATTCTTTGTGGTTTGGGGGGACATCTATATAATGTGTACAACAGAAATGTCCCTGCAGCATATATATTCAAAACCAAGAACTCGTCATTTGGGGATGTTTTCCATAGCCAAATTACTATGAACATGCCTCTTTTCCCATCATCTCAGAATAAATAAAGATGGAAATTTCTATTCTTTTTATAAACTATTTAATGTATGTTCTTAACTCAGGACAAAGTGGGGGGGGAACCCCATGCTACACACAAAGTATTTTCATTAACTTCACTAAAAAGACAGAGAAAGAGAAAGAGAGGAAGGAAGGAACGAACGAACGAACGAGGGAGGGAGGGAAGGGCAAACCTAGGGGGTGTTTCTGGTTTTGATAGCGCTCTCAGAAACCCACTACAAATGACTGTACCATCATGTAACTTCTGATAAAAACACAGTCTGATAAGTGCAAGCTCCAGAAATTAATAAAGCAAGCATTAAAACATACATTTTATATCACTGTCTAGCTAACAAAAAGGCTCCACTTATGTAATTTCAAAACCAAGAAATTTACTACAGCAGGCTTCCTAGAAATGAAAACCTAAGAATGAGATCAGAATACCAATATTTCAGCAACATGAACACTCTTGGCTATTTTTTGCTTTTTCAAAATGAATGAAATTAATTGGAGCCCGTGAATGCCCTAAATCAATGGTCAGGACAGTTAAAATAACTGAAAGAGCTCCCTACTGGTCAGTCTATAGCTGATTAATCTCCAGTTATGGTAGATCTGGGGCAGGATCTTAGTTAGTGCCAAACACCTCTATAGGGAGGCCTGCCAAGAAGCCGTGGTGATTGCCGGGATGGCCATAGTGGGGGGATGGGATGGGCCACATGACTGCCCCCCCCAAACACACACAGCTGGATACTCATACACATACAGAATTGCTTGTGCTCTCTGCCTCCGTCCATGCTGTCCTGAAACATCATGTCACTCACTAATAAAGGACTCCTGGCAAGATGAGAAGCTCTGGGTCAGGAAACTATCAGATCCTACTGATGCAAAGAGACTATTATCTAATTCACTACCTCATTTTATGCTGCAATCGTTTACATTTTCTTCTGCTTTTCGTCGTTCATGTCTACGTAATAACTGAAGGTGTTTCACCTTATTTATATATGCATTATAGGATATGTATTTATAGGGAAAAGATTATACACCCACACGCGTGAAAACAACGTTGCAGCCTAAGGGTTAAACACACGTGACAGCCCCCTCCAGACCCCCCCCCCCCCCGACCACCACTTCAATCTCACTGCTGGATTCTTCAATCTTTGGTCTTTTCAGACCCCCATGGTGCAAACCCTGTGCTACACTCTGCTTCCACGCACAGCCTCATTTTCTATCGACTACACTAATTCCTTTCATTCTAGAGGGAAAAACTGCCCCCCTGGGTGTTGCTCTGCTATGTTTTATTTATAAAACTCTGATGGGTGTTTCCTAAGGCAGCCAATATCCCCCTACAAAGAGAAAGCAAACAGTGTTCAAGCTTCCTGCATCCTCCACGGCTCATAGTTAATATGTGAATTACTGTAAAATTCCAGAGCATTTTTGCAAAACGAGCACTTTGTCTCCACATGAGAAGCCGTTCTAATTTCAACGGAGTCTTAGAAGAATCAAATCAATACAACCTAAATAAACGTACTGAGTTTCCAAACGGACTTAGGCAGCCATGCCAACTCATTTGTTCATTTACATGTAACTTGAATTTCCCTTGGATGTACCCACCAGTAGATACAAATCGTTTACCAGTTTGTAGCTCCCACTGAGGCAGGACCTCTGACTTCCTGCCAAGTCCCCAGCATCTAATTCTGGAAATCGCCAAGAGGAGCCTCACAGCCTCTGTCAGGTGATTCTGTTACGCCATCACCCCCACCTCACCTCCTTCCCTCCCTCCCATTTCCACCAGGCCCAGCTGCTACTGCAGTTCTCCACTGGGCCCGGAAATCTTGCTTTCTGCACAGCGCCCTCTGCTCTCCTCTGCAGCAAGATGCCTTTTTCCACTTGGTCACATATTCTGTGTGGGAAACCTGGCCTCCTTCTCTACTCAGGAGCCAGACACACCTCCGGGAGACAAACTGGGAACAGCCATCAGAATGTCTCTTTCCTCCTGCTCCGCATGGGCGAAGCCTCTTCCTGGCTTGAGCTCAATGAACCTAGTTCCTGTCCCACTTGGTCAAGTACCATCCCTGGACAGTTCATAGCCCCGCTGTAAATGGATCCCTGTGACCACATCTGCTCCCAGACTTGCCCAGGCCTATCCAAGCTTAGCAGAGGACACAGGTAGAGTTCCTTTTCCAGAAGCCTCCCCAGCTCTCCTGCAGACTCCCTATTGCCTGCCCCGACCACAGGTAGAGACAGCTCTGTGACTTACTTAAATTCACCCCCCCCACCCCCCCACACCCTCCCCCGCACCTTAGCTGCCCACACAAATGCAAACATATTTAAAACAAGTCTTTTTTCTTTCCAGTAAAAATTGGCTTTTGAATTAAACGGGCAAACTGCAGAAAGTCATGATAATTTCTTAGAATTGCTATGTTTATTCCTGACTCACGGCCTTCCCACAAGCCCATTTCCTCTGCCTCAGAGTACGGGTTAGGGTGCTTGCATTTTCTTCTCACAGCTCTGTGCTTTTCTACTTGGTGGGGCTTATCATCACAGTAATGAAATGATTAGTTATCTGTGGACTATTTAATAGTCAGCCTTCTTCAATAGATTGCAAGCTCTGTAGGACAGGAATAAGTTTGCCTGTTCTCCCTAGCGATGCCAGGGCCTGGGAGAGAGCTAACTATTTTTTGAAAAGATGAATAAATGTCAGTATGTAGTCATGGATGTAACCTGTGCCATTTCAGAGCTCACACTGTGTGTTTAGTGTGTATGTGTATCAATGTGTGTGTTCACATATATTGGGAAAGTCCTCGTACTTCATGATCATATACTTATGAACAGGCCGAACTGTATTTTCAGCTCTTGGATTATTTACTTCATATTTGCTCATTCTACTGGAAAATTTAAAATCTCGTGCAATATAGCATTTGTGATTCGGAAAAATTCTTGTCTAGGACTTCAGAACATAGGCTCTGCAATCTAACTGCCTTGCTCTGCCATCTGCATGGGAGTAGTAACTTGGCAATTCTGTACCGCATTTCCTCATCTGGGCACAGTGCATAAAACGGCACGGACTGCACAGAGTTATCAGGAGGATTAAATGAGATAATTCTTGCAAAGCAAAAACTCAGTCCTTGGGACAAAGGAAATACTCAGTAAATGTTAGCTAATATTACCACTAGTGCTAATGTTATTTTTACTTTCTCTTTTCTGGGTGATCCACACATGAGCCTCTCTTTATTCTTCACCATGAGACATTCGCCTATAGAACTTCATTGTCTTATTATTTTTTTTAATTATTTATTTAAGTAATCTCTACACCCAGTGCGGGGCTCGAACTCACGACCCCGAGATCAAGAGTCGCATGCTCTTCCGACTGAGCCAGCCAGGCGCGCCACTCATTGTATTATTATTAGAAAACATTCTATAAACAAAGAAAGTATCTCTTTCGGCTAATAGAGAATGAGATGCAAGGCAAACAATTCATTTACATTACGGCAAATGTAAAGTTCTTTCTAACATTTTTGTTTGTTTGTTTATATTCATTCATGATTAGCGAAAACCCTTGAGGGGAAAATATCTTTCACCTAAGCATCCACTGTTTGGGCCCAAATATTACTGTAACCTGTCCTAAGAGATCATTTTTCACCAAAGCCTACTTCTTGCATGAATATTTAATAAGAAAGAAATTCTTACGGAGATAGAAGTGAGCTCCTGCACTTCATAGCTTAAATATCATTTTTTGGCGTAATACATTTTGAAATTGCCGGGACTATTAATACAACACAAACATCTAAATTTAAACATCGGAATTAAAATAGAATGGCCTTGGGGCGCCTGGGTGGCTCAGATGGTTAAGTGCCTTCAGCTCAGGTC